GAGATGTCTCGGCCACAGCTGAGATTAAACCACCCCTACCTTTCACAGGCAAACGCGAACTCTCAAAAGTTGGACTCGTGCCAGGATGGAGGCCCAAAAAGAAAAGGAAAAGAAAAAGTTGAAAAAAAAAAGAAAAGAAACGAGGAGCTCTCCCCACGAAGTTACACAAGTCCTTTGAGGAATGTATCTGGCCAGTATGTGAGGACCGTCAGACATGTCTTTTTTTTTTGTCTGCGTTTTGTTCTGAGGTCGTTGTAGCGCCCTGCCAGCCAGGCAGGGCGGATTCCACGTGAGGCAGCTAACTGCCTCGCATCATTTTCGGTTCCAGACAAGTACTGTAGCATCCTCTATCGGACCGCAATCACATCATAAGGGATGCTGTTTTTCCTTTTTTTTTTTTCAACTGCTGTTCGTCGATAGACGAGGGCCCTGACTGAAGGCAGCCCGAGTTTGAATTGGATTTCAAACTCGGGCTCTGACTGAAGTGCCAAAACGCAGCTTGAAATGCATTTACAAACTGTTTTCGTGACTGCGCCGTAGTTACCCCAACAATTAATCTGGCTGGGGTGCGTCCTGTACCGATCCTCTCTATCTCTCTCTCTCTCTCTCTGTGTGTGTGTGTGTGTGTGTCTCGCTTGCTTGCTCTCTCTCCACAGTCTCGAATCACGACTTTTGCGACCATGGAATGAGTACAAGCAAGTGGAAATATGAAATGTTCTTCTTGGAAAGGCAGGTGGACGTTTCATCGGTGCAGAGAGGGAGACAAGACTTTCGTGGGAGTGATGAGAGGGAGACAAGACTGTCGTGGGAGTGATGAGAGGGAGACAAGACTGTGGTGGGAGTGAGAGAGAGTATCAGGGAGACAAGACTGTGGTGGGAGTGAGAGAGAGTATCAGACATTCTTCTGCAGTACGTAGGCGCAAGACTGAGTGAGCAGTGGGCGTGTCCAAGTGAATTGCAGTAATTCGTGTGCATGAAAGTCCACGCAGAACTTACTGTTCTGCGCTGGGCTGTGTGACCAGACACTGCCCAGGCCCAGACTGCTGCATCCGGCTGTGAGACCGAACGCCGCAGATGGAAATTCAAAGGTCAAAGTCCACTGTAGAGTCAAAGGTACCAAGCACAGGCCCTTGGACCAGATACACTCACTTGTGATGTGCAGGTACCCAGACAGCGTTAAGGTCAAAGAAGATTCGGTTTCAGTATGATCTGAGCCCTCGTCTGTATTGAGATCTGGACAATCGACGGAGGCAGCATCCGGGGCTCAGCCCCCGAGTCAACCATACATAAGGACTTACTTCCCAGCATTTGACATTCATTCAGTCGCGTCAATGCTGACTTTCTACTTTGACGACGACGCTGGCTTTATGCTGAGACACTGGCTGGACGCTGGTTTCTGGCTGGCACTTGTGAGATACGGCGACGCGCTGCTTGCCAGACATGCTGGCTGGCTTGCCCTTGTCTACTTGGTATGCTGACGTGGCAGCTGCCACGCGTTGCTGCTGATGTGGCCGCTGCCATGTGTGTTCATGCTGATGTGGCGGCTACATTGGAGAGATACAGCTGTTCTGATTCATCGTACTCAGGAGGTGATCACGACTGTGGAAGGATCAGAGATACGTACCTGTTT